TCAAAGGATCCAGCATATTCACTAAGCTTGATTTACAAGCAGGATACAACAACGTACAAATCAAAGATGGAGATCAATGGAAAGCAGCCTTCAAAACAAACAGAGGACTATTCGAACCAACGGTCATGTTCTTTGGACTATGCAACTCCCCGGCAACGTTCCAAGCAATGATGAATGACCTATTCCACGACATGGTCAACGAAGGATGGCTAGTCATCTATATGAATGACATGCTTATTCATTCATCCAATCAAGATGAACATAGAAAGAGGACACGAATAATCCTTCAAAGACTCCGCGACAATGACCTTTTCCTCAAACTTGAGAAATGCACCTTTGATGCATGGCAAGTCGAATTCCTCGGAGCACTCGTATCACACAACCAAGTTGCCATGGACCCAGTCAAAATCAAAGGAATATTGGACTGGCCGATACCAACTACCGTCAAACAAGTTCGAGGATTTCTAGAGTTCGGCAACTTCTATCGACGCTTCATCGACCATTATTCAGACATTGCAAAGCCACTCAATGAACTCACCAAGAAAGACAAGCCGTTCAATTGGACAAACGAATGTCAGAAGGCTTTCGAGACGCTAAAACAATGATTTACATTGGCACCTCTTCTATTAATGCCAGATGCCACAAAGCCATTCCTCATTGAAGCAGACGCATCACTTTTCACAACAGCAGCAGTACTCCGACAACAAGATATCAACGGAGATTGGCTACCAGTCGCCTACCTGTCCCAATCCTTCAACCCAGCAGAACGCAACTACGAAATCTACGATAGGGAATTACTGGCAATAGTACGAGCACTCGAAGCGTGGCGCCACTACCTAGAAGGAAACCCAAGCGCCACAAAGATCCTCACTGACCACAAGAACATCACGTACTTCCGATCTCCACAACGATTGAATAGACGACAAGCAAGATGGCAGCTATTCATGTCCCAGTTCAATTATGAACTTGAACACCATGCAGGCACCAGACTCATTCAAGCGGACGCCATGACAAGAGCCTCTGCACCAGCTGATGCAAAATTTGACAATACAGAAGAAGTGTTACTACCCGAAGACAAATTCGTCGCCACAATCCTCCTACCAGAGTCATTATTCACCGAAGAAGCAATCATTTCCGACATCGAAATCGAAGCACCCACTTCAAGCGTGGATTATAAATTGGCAGAAGACATTCAAAAACATCTTACACATGACGACATTGCTGAACAAGTACGATCAGCACGACTAGGAAAAACAGACGCATTTCCTTTCAAGTCAAACACGGATCAATGGGAAGAAAGAGACGGACTACTCTTCTATAAGGAACGATGCTACATACCAGCAAATCAAGCACTACGACGCCACATTGTATCCTCCTACCATGATTCCCCTGGAGCTGGACACCCTGGACAATGGAAAACAGGAGAACTCATCCGACGCGAATACTTTTGGCCAAGCATGCAAACCTTCATCTCAAATTACGTCCGAGGTTGTGCAAAATGCCAGCAAATGAAAATTAATCATCAGCCAACTATTCCACCTCTCCAACCGATCAAATCTACTCGACGGGACCAACCATTCGTGTTCACAACCTGCGACTTCATCACACACCTCCCGGCGTCTCACGGATATAATGCTCAAATGGTCGTGGTAGACCATGATTCTACGAAGGGGGTAATTCTTTGCCCTTGCACAGAGAAGATAGACGCGCTAGGCACAGCCAAACTCTACCATCAATATGTCTACCAAAGATTCGGACTACCAGACGTCTTTCTCACGGACCGGGGTCCGCAATTCGACTCCCAAGTCATGAGAGAATTGTGGAAGCTAACCGGAGTACAAGGACAAATGAGGACCGCATACCATCCTCAGACCGACGGTCAAACGGAACTAGCCAATCAAGAGGTAGAAGCGTACATCAGAATTTTCTGCCAGAACAATCCGCACAGCTGGGCACAGCTTCTTCCCGATATGGAAGTGGCGTTCAACAATCGAGAACACAGCGCCACAAAGCATTCGCCATTCTATCTCATGTATGGTTCACACCCAAGGATCATCCCCACAGCCTTTCCCAAGACTAAGGTTCCGTCCATACAACAATGGCTTCTAGAACGGACTCGCGCACATGAAGAGGCCCACGCTGCCTTAGACCAAGCACAGCATCGCATGGCCTCAAGAACTTACAGGAAGTTTTCACCGTTCCAGAAAGGCCAAAAGGTTTAGCTTGAGATGACAAACTTCCAAGATGGTTATCCCTTCAAGAAACTCGCACCCAAACGTCAGGGACCATTCAGAATCAAAGAGGTTCTAGGACCTTTGGTATACAAACTCGATCTTCGAGGGCAGCGAAAACTTCATGATGTCTTCCACGCCTCGCTTCTCACCCCGTATCATGAAACCGAGCAGCACGGCCCCAATTTCATAGAACAGCCTCCAGAGATCATCGACGGCCATGAAGAACATGAAGTCGAGGCGATACTCAATCACAAGACATCCTATGGCTATGTCCAATACCTAGTCAAGTGGAAAGAACAGCCACAAGCAGAGAACTCCTGGGAACCCGAGTCCCATCTAAAGAATGCCCAAGATATTCTGAACGCGTATAAAAGAAGGCATAATCTGCCTATTCGTTCTCCAGTCAAGACAACTCCAGTCGCAGCTACAACCAGTTCTAAGTCTCCAAACCAGCCTCACTCCGCTACTACACAATGTCTTCCACTCTCGCCACCGTCTACGAGCGTGTCCCCGTCTCCACTCTCACCGAGTCCACCTCCCAAATCCGCATCCGGAGCCCTTCCTCCATCAATCTCCCCGATGTTCAGTACACCTACGACGCCGACGTCTCGGAAAGTGACTCCTACCACGCCCCCGAAATTGCCCAATCCCGTGCACCCACTCCAGTCTCCCATGAAAGCACTATCCCCGTCGACGAACACTCGGAGCCCCATTGGGACTGGAGCAATGCTAGCGCAGAAGAGATCGAACGAAAATATCGCGAAACCACCTATCTCCAACGACTCACCAAAATCTGCAATGATTACAGCGCGGTCGAGCTCCTCTCGCAACTTGCCCAGGAAGAGGACAATGCCACGAAGATATTTGCAAGGACTGTCGCGAGCTTCCACGCTCTCAATGAACATTTCACCGACACTCATCGCGACGCTGCGGACCTGGTACACATCGACGACAAAGGACTCGCAAAACTCAGAACGCAAATCGGGAGGACAGATGTGGAGCACCTAGAAGCGTGGAGAGACTTTGTCAACTACTCGGAAACACATCCCTTGGCAGCACGCATTGTCAACACCGCCCATCGCTATCAATTCGGGCCCTCCATTCACTTCGCCTACTTATTCAACGATTTTGAGCCCATGCCGAACCCCACACCAACTCACTCTCGACCTCTCTCTGAACGCATATCCACCTCGTCGTCCAGCCAGTCCTTTCTCGCGTCCAACCAGTCCTTTTGGTCCTTTCAGGACCAGCCATCCCCTTCGGCGAGCACGCCGTCTCCCCCATCGTATGAGTCCAACAGCCACGTCGCCACCAAGAAGTCGGTCTGCTTCTCCACCCAACACAAATCCCTCGATCATTACGATCCCGGATGGACGTCCCCGAGCGCTCTCTCGGATTGGACAACTCCTGCGAAGGTTTCGAAGAGGCAGCTCAAGCGCGAACGCCGCCGTTGCAACAAACAGTCGAAGCCACTCATAGTCATCAAGAAGGCTCTCGAGGAGGCAGTCGCAAAGGTTCAGGAGGAGATCTGGGCCCTTAACTAACTCCGATCGTTGCTCGAAGGTAGATTAGGGGGTAATGTTATGATGGGTATGGTGGCGTGGGATATCATTTCCTTTTTTCGTCTCTGACTCTAGTTTAGTAGTACTGCCTTCGTCGACTCATAGAGCGCAGCTTCACTGACTCACCCGCAGTCCCTTTGACTAGTAGACTAGTCCTTAGGTTAGGCTGAGCAGTAGTATAAATACCCCGCGCATGTACAGTAGCACCCCAGCTTTCAGCTCTTTCGTATATTCACGTTTCTTTATTCTGCTCTAACCTCATCTGCGGATAAGGCGATCAGACAAGCTTCAGGCTTGCTAAGAAACCTCTGTCATAACACGGATCTGCAAGCAGCAGGCCTGCCTATTATCCCCGGCCTCTGAATGGACTGAACACCGTGCTTTAATAATAGCGTTGGAAGTCGATAATGTACACTAGCGGCCATCCGGAATTCTGATTCAATCTTCGAATTATTTTGTACCCTGTAGGTCCGAGAATAGGGGTGTATACACTGTACTCAAGGAGTCGCTTCGCATGAAGACTCGACGTAGGAGCTGATTTGAGAAGCTTGGCGGCGCCAGATGCGTGTGATTCAAACAGACCTATTCGATCTAGCTGGTACTATTGGATTGAATTGAAAGCTGCTTCGTCTGGGCAATTAGCCCAGAGGAACACGACATCTGCCTGTCCTTCAGCATAGCAGTGGCGAGTTAACGTCTGCTGGTATGAATAGATCATCCTCAGGCACTCTCCCCAATTGTCAAGAGTCCTTTGTATGTCCGCCGCACAGTCGTAAATCGCTTAGGACGCAGAATGAGCTTATGTAAGCGCACCGAAAAGGGATGTACCCCAAAGCTTCCGCTTTGGGGTCGATCACGTGCCGCTCGGCCTTGTGCAGTAGAGTTTTTCCTGCAGTTTAGTTATTTTTTATTCATTGACTCTCGGAGTTCTCTCGGCCGCCATCTTTGCAACTACATCTCTGGGTTTCCGTCCTCCGAAGAATGGATTTTCACGGGGAATACCGCGCCGCTGAGCTTCATGGTGTAATGCTCTCGGCAAATCTGAAAGCGTGCGGTCTGGCGTTTGAGGCCTTTTTGAGGGCTACACCTCAACGCTTTCGTCGAGTCGTCCGCTCATGGTCTTCACATGTATGCGAATCGATTCGTCGTCATTCGATTCGGTGAATTCATATGCATAGGGCCTTGAGCGCAGATGGTTGGCACCCCTATGGTGCACGTTTCCCTGAAAAGTGCTAACCGTTACAGGGGGAGAATCTGCCACTTATATACCGCAAGGCTCTGCAGTTTGGTTTTCTAGCTCTTTTCCGCAGGCCATGGACGCAAGCGTCGAACTTCTGAAGCAGATCTACCGACGATCCGAGACGGCAGACCCAGCAAAATCGTACCTATTCTTTCCCATCAAATGGAACCAATACAGGAAGAAAGGTAAAATTGAGTATGCCTGTGCCTACCTTGCGTCCGAACAGTACGTCAGGCTGTGTACGTTCACGAATCGTTTACTTGACTGGTCTCTTCGTAGTTTGCAAAACGCAGATATCCTTGCTGAGAGGGCGGTAAGGCGTGGTAGATTTACCAAAAGCAGGGACTTTTGGAAAATGGTCACCGACATAGAGATCCAACTCGTAGAAATTGCTCAGAGCAGCGTGCGTGCCTCTGATCGCAAGACCTTCAATTATGAGCCTCTTCCGTGCAATAACCCCCCTTGCAACACCTGCGAGCGGCAATGTTTCTTCTGTATCGTGTCGAGACGCACTACAAGGAAGAGATCAAGAGGCAGTTACAAGTGCCAGGTCTGCTATCTGCGCAAGTCCACGTGTCGCATACCAAAAGCCCACGTTCCCGGTAAGTTTTGTCGTATCGTGTCCTGTACGAGCCTGAAATTATAGTGTATGCAACTGCAGACGATGGTTCATCGGCTGGCGAAGAGGGCGGCGACAGTGGTGAAAATCAGCTTGAGAACGAAGTTGAAGAAGCCGCTGTCAATATGTCTGGAGCTCGGGGCGGTCTGTTGGAGCAGAGCAGTAGCATGCGCCCTCAAGGAGAAGTTCATACGTTTGTCTCGCACGGGCGTGTATTAGGATCATTCGAGTGTTAGGACACCGTCGCACACACCGATTTTGACGACGAGCCGTTGGCCGAGAAGCAATTGCCTCGAAGAAATGTACGACGGGACAGCCAGTCCGTATCGTCGGCACAGACGTAAATCTGCCGGCCCGTCCTCCTACCGTATGCATTTCACCCGTGGATCTCCATGACTCGTGCGACTGAAGATTTTGCTGTAGGGTGCCCGAAAGGCGCGAGGCGTAAACGAAACAAACGTCCAGCCGTCTACTGCCCTCAGGAAGCATCCGAGGGTCGAGTCTGCAGGCGTCAGAGATGAGCCTGTGAGAATGCGTCGCGCTGCGGGGCAGGAGGCAGTCACTCCCAGTTCAGGCACCCAAGCTGTCGCACAATGACAAGCGGTTCCTGTCCAATTAGCGTCGCCCGCGGAATGCACAGTTGTTACCATGGCCTACGAAAAAGTCACGGTCATTTGCATTGTGCAGCACGTCGAAGGCGAGGGCTGCGAGCAGCTGTGGATGAAGATTGTCGTGCAGGAGGCGGGTGAGGCCCTCCAGCAGCTCAGGTGCGACGAGCCGCTGGGGAAGCGGCTCGCAAAGTTCGACAGAGAACGCTTCGAAAATGCGCGGAATCTCGTTGAGGCGGCTATTGACGACGTCGCCTCCTTCGATACGATCCTCTTGAAAGACATCAAGCTCCAAGTCCGGCTCAGCAGCCTGAAGACTCGTCTGTCGCATCTCGCCGTTGTATGAGTTTTTCCGCATTCTTCTCGGGATACAAACAACGCTGTGTATGATTCAGTTTCCCTTGCCAGATTTACGTCAAGTTCGTTCTTACTATCGGCGACAGATTGTATTGTACTATAGTATGACTATGTTCATTCGTTGAAGGATGCCAGGTACCCATACGCGGAATGCTTTCCGACAAGGGTGGTCGGACGTTTGAACAGTACGCAACGCACAGGCAGCTGGGATGCGGACTGCCGACATCATCCTGAACGGCGGAATAAAATCGGCATCCGTTAGGGGCCACAACGGACTGTCGATTAAGGGGGCCTCTCCTAGAAAATTCATTTTTGTGGATGTACAAACGATGGCCTCTTCAGCATTTTAAGAGGTTGACTAGCAAGTCAGGGAGAGACCTCTCTCTGCCGCGAGTAGCGGTCTACCCTAAACCAACCTCTTGGGAACCTTTTCCTACGGGACGGGACATTCACTTCAAAATGTTCCGGATCTCGAGAGCTTACGCCTGTAGTTACAGATTGAGCATGGTCTTATATTGCGACGAGAGTAGGAAGTGGCTATTCCCAGTCATGCCACACCATCGTCCAAGGCGAGACACTGCGGCATTTTTGTAAAATTTATGTCTGTCCACCTGTGATATGTAGAACTCACCCTGAACTCGATGAATGCATCCCCCGCGCCGTTTGCTCGGACTTTCGGAGCGGGCATGAGGAACTGCAGGCTAAGCAGGCCGTCCTCATCGATACGCAACGACGTCTTCGACGAGCTCTGCAGCGCCTTAAGGGCTTTGGAGATGTGCTTGAAGCTGTAGCTGCATGCACGGCGGCGCTTCAGCTGTGGAAGGAGCCAAAGAAGCGCAGAGAGAGACCGACCTGAAGCTCACGGCGTTCTCGCACTCGCACGTCTCGAGGACTTCTCTGTCGTTTGGGTAGTCCATCTATCGTGGATAAGATGTTGTGCAAACAGGGACCCGTATGAGAGCGCATATACGCACCTCTGTGCTCCCGAACGTCCCAACTGCCCTGAGACGCAACCGCCGCTGTGCTCCACGCTGGGTGCGTCCTTGCTGCTGAGGCGGGTTGCCCATAATCGTGAGCTTGTCGCACGAAGGGTCGAGTTCGGACAAAGCGTCACGAAGCCAGGACGACTGTGTGGAGCAGAGTCGTCGCAAGAATCAAGACTAGCCAACACAAGAACCTACTTTCAGGATGACCTTGAGTACACTGGGGAGCATTTAGTCAGAGAATACAAACAGGAAAATACATATGCTTACGTTTTATCCGAGTCAAATGGCAACGCAAGCTGCGGCTCCGCGTCGAAAGTGGTCAGCTCGACGGTCGCCGTTGCTCCATCACTGGGATCCACTCTGGGGAAGCATATATTCATATCAGCGTACGATGAGCAGATTTTAGGAAGCTTACATGACAAATTCCAAAGGATGCCCGGCACCAGCGTACGAGATGCGTACGCCCGTAAGCTTTGTATTCCCGAAATGATGGTCAATCCGCCCATTGCTTGCAGGGGCTTCCCGCTGCCTATGATGCGAGTTGCCTTCCTGCTGGTGATCGTCATCTGAGTCCTCGCCTATACGACGCCAGCGACGCGTCTTCTTTTCCGTGTCTTTTGTCGTCGCGGTTCCAAAGATATTGAGGCATTCGACGAGTGTCGACAGTGGGATCTCAAACGCAGTGTTTGTGTCCGTATTATTACCTTTTCCAGGATCTTGGGTCTGCTGCGTGGATGCCCTTGAAGTGGATGCCGGGGTATAGACAAATTGGTCAAAACATTCAGCAAAGACGTATGCGGAGCCTTTCAGTCGACCTAAGTGGCATCACATGAAGCAGCGCTTGAAGACTATGCACCTAGCAAAGTACGCGCGTCTTCAACCGCGACAATCATCCCGGCCTTCGTCATCGTCACGGTTGCGCGCTACGTGGAATCATCAACGACTGTGACATGAATCGCCTCATTCGGACTTACGCCAGAGAAGTTGACACCACGTAGCAACGCAGCGAAATAACGAACGTCACTTATTGTCGCATACAGCAGCTGGTAGATGGCTTAGTCGCATAATAAAACGCGTAGCTTATTGAAAACGCACAAGGGCGGTTTGCGGCTCGGGAGCTCCGCCAGGCTGCTCGCTCGGAACTGGGCTGGGGTTTCTGGATTGCGTCGACAGGTTTTGAGACATATTCACGAGAGCAGCATATATGGGTTTTTTACGACACGAGAGGTCGTCTTGCGGATACTGAGTGTTGTAAGGTCGGATGATGGTGGCGAGAATACGATGCCTGCCAAAACAAGACGCCAGGCGCTGATCACGTGCGAGCAGCGCATCACCCCGACTCCCAGGAACATATGTACTGAATATTTACCATGCCAACTCGGTATTGATGTTTCATTTGTGTACAACGCGACCACCTATATGTTACTAGCGCGAGGCGACCGGATCGAGTGTCGAGATACCAGTCTGGAGCATCGATTTTGCAATGCTTATCGAAGTCAACTAGATAAATAAAAATAAAAATAAAAATTCATGTAAATGTGGGTAACATCTATATGCAAAAAGAAAGGAAGGGGCGATCTAGTGAGGGCTCCCGCATGCGTGGCCTCGCGGACTACAATCGCATGTTTTGATTACTGAGCTAAGGCGTCCAGTGATGTCTAGTGAATACAAGGAATCGTACGGATTATGTAAGGACCGAGCTTCAGGTGCAAAGCTGATCGACGACAAGGCCCCCGTCCCAGAGATGAATTTTAATTGATCAGTCTTGAGCATACTGGCAGCGAGATAGCATAAGTACACTGCGATTGTATTGTACTTTTTCGACCTAACCGACGGGAAGCGCCCAAATTAAGGTTTTCCGACAACTCCCCCAAAATCGCCATAAATCGAGTAAAAATTATTGGAGGGGCAAGCGGAAAACCGCTGTAACGCGTAACTGCCGGTCAGGTCGAAAAAAATGCACAGTATGCTCGGTAGAGCCTCCTCGTGGCATATATTTCAGATGCCGGATACAACCTACAGCCGCTTTAATCCACATTCAACGTTCCAACTTGGATGCTTGAACAACTCTTACTAGGAGATAACCCCGGCGACTTGACGAATGTCGCCGTATTCCGGCGATCACCGCGCCACGAAGACTTCGGGCCGTGCCGGCTATCGCCTAGTCCCTTTAGGCTTCAGTCGTCTCCAACGCTCATCTCTCTTGTCGAATCGTTCCGTCCAACTTGCAGCATTGGGCGAGAGTAAGACTTTTATATTGAATAGCGCTTTTGTGAGACTGGTTTTGCGTTCAATTGTGCAGCTACAACGGACTGTGAGTAACCACAGACAGCGTCCTCGAGCTGTAAGCAATCCATCACCAGGATTGTGGGGACGGATCTCCTCAGTTTCCGGCACGGCTTTCTGTCCCGCGGGACGATAGATATTGACGTTTATGGTGCAGAAGCTCACAGATACACTCGGCCATGCCGTCTCGCCCACGGCCCCTCGCAGACAGTGTACTGGTACGTCTACAATTTTTGTCTAAAAGCTCTCAGCTAAGTATAGCAGCACCACTTCTATCACTTCTGTCCATCTTCTCCCGTTTGATTACCCTCGATTTCAGCTGCGCCTCTTGCCAGATATGTGTTCATTTTCCCACCCTCTACCTGGGTTCTCAGGAACAGAGGGCGACGAACACACGGTGCCTATAGCGCCGATCTTCTCCGTGTTTCTCTCGATCCAGCCGGAGGCTGAAGGACCCACGAAGAGTCTATTTTTGTATGATGTCACCACGTGCACAACTGCGAGGAGACGCGAGGCCCATCCTATTATTACTTGCAATCCTGGGAACACACCCACTGATGCGCAAATATCGTCCACCGCTAGCTCGCTAGCGGCACCGACGCTGTGGTACGGCACCGTGATACTCTCATACCTCGTCGTCGGGCCTAACCAACGTGTGCGCCCGCCGGTGCCGTTCACATTCCTTGGTATCTCGACTACGCATCTTTGCTTGGCGTTACGTGTCCATGGACTGTGTTCGGTTCGCTATGGTGAGCTTAAGACCACTGAATTATGTGCCTCTTTTTCTCATTCGTCCAAGTCTAGTGAATACATCGCAGCTTTTGATAGGCTTGAATGCAGCTTCGTTGGCAGGCCGCTGTCAAAGTTTGAGCGGGAAGCATCACACCGCTTTGTTGTCATTTGAAGGATCTTTTTCCTACATACGCGGCCTAGATCCTCCCACATACCGTTTTTTCTCCGTGGCATCCGCTTGCCCGACGCCCCCAGCGCGTTCCTGCCGGGGGTCGTCGCGCTCCCATGGATGCGTACGATGGATCACTTTAGTCCCGAGGGAGAGGTTCGTGTATTGCAAAATGCGCGGTTGGTACTCACATTTCTGAGAGCATTGCAAACGGTCGGGGCCTCATTGGTGTTCTGCTCAACGAAACATTCCAGGATCCCTCCGCTGGTCAATAACCGGACCCATGGATCGCTCGCAAGGGTGCGCAATGTGTGTATAGGTCCTTGACTACACCATCCGACCCACTCACAACCTTGGGAATGCAAAGCACCGTTTGGCGGCACCGATGTGCCGTCTTGCATTGAACAGGCGTAGAAATTGCTCTCGATGAAGAGGTATAAAGGGTGGGCAGAGCACAAGGAGGCTCTTCAGGACAACGAGCTCTTCACTCGCATTCTCCTCTCGACATCGAGTTCTCTCCTGCTCGAACGGCCCATCTTTGCTCTTCAGAATACACAATGGCTTTCAAGTTCTCCTCCCTCCTCGCCCTCGTCGCCACTGCCGCGACCGTGCGCGCTGCCCCGGCCTCCACCGCCGCCACCTGCTCCGATGGTACACAGGTCCCCAACGAAGTTTGCTGCAACTTCGTCCCCGTATGCCTACTTCACATCACACTATGCTACAGCGGTGACTAAATCACTTAAATACAGCTTATCTCGGCGCTCCAGAACAATCTGTTCATGGAAGACTGCGGTGAAGACGGTAGGTCCTGTCTTCCCTGATCTGTGGCAATAGCACTAACATCTCGTCTAAGCCCACGAGGTCATCCGTCTTACTTTCCGTGAGTAACACTCCATTGAAAATAGTCGTCAACATACTCACCATGCCTTACCAGACGATGCCATTGCTATCTCTCGGAGCCAGGGTCCCACAGCGTGAGTGCCGCCATCTATTGATCAGTGATCATAAACATACTTACCTCAAATGTTCAGTGGTGGTGGAGCCGACGGGTCGATGCTCATCTTCCCGACCGTCGAACCGTCGTTCTCAGCGAACAACGGCATCGGCGACAGTGTCGACAATCTGATTCCGTTCCTCTCCCAGTTCCCCGCCGTCTCCGCTGGCGATCTCGTCCAGTTCGCAGGCACGGTCGCGCTCAGCAACTGCCCTGTAAGTGATCGTGGCACACAGATACTGATATGCTATATTCTGACATAACTCCTTTCAATAGGGCGCGCCCCAACTTGAGTTCCTTGCCGGTCGCCCGAACGCGACTGCCCCCGCCGTCGACGGCCTGATCCCCGAGCCCCAGGACAACGTCACCCACATTCTCGAGAGGTTCGCCGATGCTGGTGGCTTCAGTCCCTTCGAGGTCGTCTCCCTGCTCGCTTCCCACTCCATCGCTCGCGCGGACAAGGTCGACGAGACAATCGATGCTGCGCCCTTCGACTCCGTAAGCGACAATGTTTCTTATCATAATCACCCGCTAACCGATATTTGCAGACCCCGTTCGTGTTCGACACCCAGGTCTTCCTCGAGGTCCTGCTTAAGGGCGTTGGCTTCCCCGGAACCGACAACAACACCGGCGAGGTTGCATCTCCTCTCCCAACGACCGTCGGCACCGACACCGGCGAGATGCGTCTCCAGTCTGACTTCGCCCTCGCCCGCGACGAGCGCACTGCTTGCTTCTGGCAGAGCTTCGTCAACCAGGAGGATTTCATGGCGTCGAGCTTCAAGGCGGCCATGTCCAAGCTCGCCATCCTCGGCCACAACCGCGAGGACCTCGTCGATTGCTCCGCCGTCGTCCCCGTGCCGAAGCCCGCGGTCAACAAGCCCGCGAGCTTCCCCGCCGGCACTAGCCCTGAGGACCTCCAGCTCACGTGCACGACTGAGAAGTTCCCGACTCTGACCATTGATGGTGCGTGTCTGCGGACGTCTCGATTTTGATTGCAATTGGACTGACTTTCGACTCTCGTACAGCCGGTGCCCAGCAAACTCTGATCCCGCACTGCTCTGACGGCAACATGACGTGCAACACCGTCCAGTTCAACGGCCCGGCTGCTGGTGTGTAAGAGGTCGTAGCTTAGGATCTATTTATCCAGCTATAAGTTATGGCGGAGATACTCATCTGGTTCTGGCACGGTATCCGATGTATGCTACTTCAACGCGATGTCGGCGGTCCTAGTGACTGCGCGACTGTGATTTCTGTGGTTCAAAATATGACTTATCTGTTACGCATTTCGTCTTGGCCGACAGCAAAAGGCACAAACAACAGAAACAAACTGTTCGGTATGGAAGCAATGAGAATTTTCACTAAACACGCATGAGCCTAAAATCAAACCAACGATTCATCTAGTTACAAGGCTCGTGCACCATGATGGCGCCGATGGAATCAAACTACGATAACAAAATTAATTCTTAGGGAATACACTCAGAGAGTCAGAGTCAGCCATCCACTGACAAAAGATAGCTGAGAATGTGCTACCGTTGTACCTCTGGAATACCCAGTTCCGCCACCTGCTCGAACAGCTCTGCCGCAGATAGCTCCGTAGAATCGCTAACCTCGCGGTTCCAAGCTTCTCATGGCGCAGCGTAAGCGCTGACAAGGGGCTGACTTAGGATAGAATTACTTATATAGGCGCGCGATGTCGAGGCGAAAGCTGTGGCGAGCTTCTGGAGATTGCATCCTGGCAGAAGTCGACGCTGGCAGAAGGCTTGCGCGACGCTGCACAAGGAGATCTCACGTCTGAAGAACGTGGGAGACAAAAGGTTGAGCCATATAGGAAGTGTACCGTGGCAAGTTTCGTGTTGTACGCGGCATGGGGCGATGACTGTATAAAGGGAGGGACAGAGACGGGAAGAGATGGGCAGAGACATGGCGGTCGTGGCCTAGGCCAAGGCGTTGGCACTCATACTCCCGCAGACAAGTAACCTAGCTCCCGACATCCCTTTGTCTTTGGCCGGGTTTTCACACAGATATACCAATATCCTTTCAATATATAAATCACAATTGGCTATGTTATCAGCTAGATAACAACAGAGCTCTGTCGGACGTCGTCCAATGATTGCCCACGAACTCCTCAGCTCGGTTAAATCCCTCAAGAATGCTGAACCCTGGAGGCAACGGTAAACCGATCAGAAACTGCAGTATCCAAGGAAGCGACAGAGTGGAACATACTGGATGAAAAATGACTGATCGTTCGCAACTGCATTCCCTCCGTGTGCGTTCTGCGTAGCCTGGCAGTTGAACGCGAGGTTGTTGATGGTCGAAGCCTGGAGAAGCAGTTCGAGTTTATCAACGAACATGAGATCTCTTATCGACACGACATACCCAGTCGGTCAGGCAGTACGTCAGATTGGAGCCCAACTGATTAACTATGAAACTCTCGCAACTCTGGAAGGACATCGACACGACGGCGGCGCTCCCCGAGGGGGCGAGCATAAACGTGTCACCTAGGACACTTCCGAGTCAGTGTGCTCTCAGCGACGCGTCGGCTCAGATAGCTTACCCAGGACATCGCCCTGGCTGTTGAAGGATATGGCGCCGGCGATGACTTGACAGTCGTTAGGGTCTGGTCCTCCACCGGCCGGGGTGAAGCAGTTGGTGGTGGCTACGGCCTTCGGTCAGCGAACGAATGGTATCGAGATGAGAGCCACCTACTAGGCTCGCTACAGGCGTTGGTGCTCTGCCTGGCCTCGATGGCACGGGCGACTTGAGACGTCGGAACACTGTCGCAAGCGATTTGCCGTACTAAAACCTCATTGTTACGCCCAATGTAGGTGGTGTCGAGAGCACGAGGGTTCTGGCAGTGCGGCACAGAGGGTACGGCCACGGCGAGGACGCCCGAAAGCAGCAGTGCTGAAGAGAAGACAGCTCGGAGGACGTGCATGGTGGTAGATGTGCTAGCGGGTTGCGGACACTAGGAGAAGTATGCTGGTGGATGGAGGTGTACGGCCGCCGAACACACACTATATATACCCAGGCGAATGTGCCAAGGACATGAAGTGTCACTGCCATTGTGTCCCGTCTCGTTTTGGATCCATGTATGTAGAGTCTTACTGTTGACTGCACCGTTGTGAAATTCGCCGTCACCCGGTCAGAGGCCCGGACTCGCTGGGCATCGGTCACGGTACCGGTGCACGAGCCTGTACAAAGTGCGCCAAACCTGCATGAAGTTGACAGTCTTGCATCTGGAACTCGCGTGAGCTAGGCTCAAAGTCGCGGAGCCTGTACTGAAACTCGCATAGCCCAGGCTTCAACTCGCGCGAGCTACTCTGAGACTCGCATAGCCCAGGCTTCAGCTTGCGCGAGTCACACTCAAACTCGCATAGCCCATGGCCAGGTTCCAAAGTTTCAACGTTCGCCTCGCGTGAGCAGCTCTCAAACTTGCGTGGCCCATGCTTCAACTTGCGTGAGCTATCCTCATACCCGCATAGCCCAGACTTCAACTTCAGCTTGCGCGAGCTATCCTCCAACTCGCATAGCCCAGGCTTTAAAGCTTCAACTCGCGCGAGCAGCTCAGGTGGTACGGAAATCCTTATTTGGACGTACAACCTGTAGGGTCGCGCATCAGATATCAGATATTTATCTGCTTGTGTCCGCCACGATTTTGTCGCTTTGTTCCTATTGCCACTGTACGCGAATGACAAGCATAACAGGAACGAACAGCCACAGTTTCTCTCTATCATGCAACTCGTTGAGCGCGCAGAAACGCGCACGGGGGTCACCACGTTGAAACCCGGAAACCAGTCGCGGCGCGTCCCGGAAAGCTCTTCGTGCTCTCTGCAAATTCCATGTAGATCAGTGGCCCAAAAACTCGTCGTGAGGGGAATATCGCTACCCACGAGCGTGAGGAGGTACGAGAATTATCGAATACCGACGGCATGCAAAGTCGCGATCGCCTTCCATCACGTCTTCCTCCTCTCGGTCGCCTCCCACGCTTCCCACTTTTGATACCCTGGGCACGACACCGCCGGAGAACGTTGAAGCAGAAGCTGTCGGTCGCGCTTGGATCAAGCTGCTCACAGCATGCATGGAATCTCAAGACTGTGTGCACTCATTGACGATGCGCTCTACGCTCAGCCATGTAGCGAGACCTCTATGCCCCGACTATCTCACCTGAGGCAGCCGCGCTTTCCGCGGCTGCCACAGCATGTCTCTCGTGAAGGCACTAGGACCAGCCCCACAAGGTCGACGAATGGCGGCTTGCAGAACTTGAATATGTTCAGGCTGTTGCTTGTACGGATGGCGTACACAGCCCAAGTACTTGCACTCGAAGCCATCAGCATACCTTCTGGCACCGTGGAAATCCATGCCTAATTCGACCACATATCTTGCAGTTAGGGAAGAGGTATTTCTGAGAGGTATCAGCGGCCCATGAGGAAGACCTCTAGCGCGCTGATAGTCGGTTCCTTGCGCTGATGTCGGTTCTCAGGTCGTAGCTACGCAAGTCCTTCCGGTGCGACAACGCAGCTGACTTGAGGACGATATCATCGAGAAATTAATTTGGGGCAAATGGTGGTCGTTAGGAGCGCATCTGGACTGGATCGGCCAAGGGCACGCACGCCTTCCTCGGGTCAGCTACAAATGCTTCATCGACTCGGGCCTTCGAGGTGGGCTTACCACGAACCCGCAGGGTCAGAGAGCCCGTAAGGCACCCCAGCTGCTCCAAGTTTATTGAGATCGTGGCCATAAATCAAAACCGATTTGTTCAAGAGCGAGCCTGAAGAAGAAATGCTGACGACGCTTACTGACTTGAGTGAGCACGAGCTGTAACTCGGGACCCTGCGTCAACAAGGTCAACGGGGCAAAACGAGATATATACAACAGCAGAACGATGAAAGTATAGACTGCCACAACAACATACCAGTCCAAGTACCCCCTGAGACCAATCCTAGATTTTCGCCATCGCTAAGATCCGCCGGTAGTCGTCGCACACGCTCTGGAAGGTCTCCTCGAGCTTTTGCTGCCGCTCGGCCTTGTCCAGTTGCATGAGCACTTCCTGCGCGACGTGTTGCATGTCAGCACGCGAACCTCCTATCTGAAGATAAAGACAGATAAGAAAACGGCACGCACAAAGTTGAAACGGTACAGCCGCTCTTTAACCTGGAGCCTGTACGCGCGCCACGGACGGGGGTCCGCCTCGTCGACGTGCAGGAGCTGGAGCATCTCTGTCAGGCGCGAGAACTGTCTCTGTATGGGCAAACGTCGCCGATCAGCCTCTGCGCGCCGAAATCTAAGAAAGAGAGCGCGACGCACCCCGGCGATCTTCAGCTCCGTCCTCCACCGCTCCGCCCACGGCTTGTCCACCGGCGGACCAAGCATGCCCTCTCTGCCTTTGCCCTTGCCTTTGCCCTTTGCACCATGCCGCACATGCCTCACCGGCCCCGCACCAGCACCACCGCCGCCCAGCCCGCCCTCGCCAAACGCCTCCGCCGCGAAGCGCGCGTGCGCGATGAGCATGCGGAGGTCGCACCGGTCGCGGAGGTCCTCGAACGCCTCGGCGGGGTCCTCGACGGTCAGCTCCGCGATCTCGGGGCGCGCGAGCACGTGGCCGTAGATCGCCTTGTAGAGCGCGGCGCCGTGCCCGGCGTGCTGGAACGGCGGGAGGACGACGAACTGCGAGAGGCGCAGGCGCACGCGTTCCGGGAAGCAGTAGAACGGGTAGAGCGAGCTGTAGCCCATGAAATGGTACGTGTACTGTGGGTCTGAGCTGGAGGACGCGTCCGAGGCGCGTTTTCGCTTTTCGTATCTGGACACGCATGCGAGTTAGGCGGGGAGGCAGGGAGTGGTGGGACACATACAAGCATACAAATTCCCACGCGGGGTCTTCGTCGACATAGCTTCCGCCCTCAATGTACAGCAGGATGAAGATCTGCATTTTACGATGGTATTCCGTGAAGCCAGGAGTATCGAACTTCGCCTGCAGGAGTGTATCAGCCAGCTTGGTGCTTTAGTAACAAAGCGAGGGAAGAGAAGATACGTACATGCCACACTTCGTATTGTTGCGCTTCCCCATTAGCTTCGCCGCTAGCGCGCTTCGTGTACTCGTAGATCTTCTCGCCGTAGGGCTTAAACGAGAGTGCGTCTTCTTCAACATGCTCGAGGAACTTTGGAAGGTCGGTCTCGTAGTCTATGGGCCCACACCCGTGCGCGTTATGTGGAGGTTCGCTAGGTAAATAGTAGAGAGCATACCTTCGGGCATGAGTTTTGTCAGCATACCCTCCACATCATCGACCGGCGACGGCGGAGGCAGTTTCGCAGCATACGAGACACTGAGATATGTCCGCAGCGAGCCGGAGGCAAGTCTGAGCTGTACCACGCATGCATGAAGAGGTCAGCGACCATGAATTATTGCACTATATGTTGAAAGCAAGACGGACACGTGAGAGGACATGGGTGGTGCTGGAGGTTTCTAACACGGACGCAGTCTCAGAATTGATGATTCGGGATAGTGACATGAGAGAGTAGCTCGGGGAGATGTAGCCACAGAGCTATCATTGGAGTACGTAGGGATTATGCAACTGAAGACGAAGAGAGTGCCACACAAGCCACAGGTGCAATTGCTCTTCAGCCATTTCTCGATCACGAGGTGCCACCGAGGGTGACTATGGTCATATAGGTGTAGGCGGTAGAGTTCTGCACTTGGATGTCGAAGATGATCAAGTAAATGCAGGGCGGTGCCTTGTATGCGGCTCTTGTTCGAGCACACATCGATACCACCTCGCTTCGCCCCGTCTGTTTCTCTCCAGACTGCCTCCCTCCGCCTTCTCACAAGACCAACACGGAGGTCGAAGAGGAAGAACTCACGTCGATTAGGAGGTCCTCGTAGCCGTACAATTTTTCTTCTGTGCCATATATCTAGTATGCTGTCAGTACAGGACGTCGAGCGCACCAGTAAGGAGACACACTGGGTATGTGAAGGCGGGATGAAACTGGACGGCATGGGAGTCTTCGTCAGTGAGCCTGTCCCTGTCGGAGCGAACGAGAGAGATGGCGAGAGCCTCGTTGGAGTCGGCCGTCCAGTCGCCCATGGCCGTCGGCTTCCCGGAGGGGTTGGTCGGGCGGGGGATGATGGGAGGTGGGAAAGAGCCGCTTTGTCCTCAGCGCTCACGCGTAGCGCGGTGAGTGGTGACGCGACGCGCCAGTCCCGTGCCGCGCTCTGAACCTCCCACGTCGGCCTAGGACAAGGTGTGAGTTGATTCCATCCTGCATCTGCTCAGAGTCTGCCGGGCTTATGCAGCCAGCCTCCATAACTAACGCACCCACGGCCATCTAAGGCCTATAGTTGGCTGTGCATCAAACTGTGCCTGTCAGCGTTCTCACCGGTATCCGGTCCACTCGTTGCTGGCGGGGTCGGCGTGCCCATGGCTGGTACACGCCGCCGGTGCCCACGACATCGGAACCGGCGACGGACTCTGTCTGTCGCTCTCTGACGCGCATTTTTCCAACAGCCACGGAGGCTATGCAATTAGATGGCGGTCACAGGTTGCAAATTCGTCAAATAGACTATTGGGCAATTTGATTGCCTCGATTCCGAGGATGCATCCTGCATAGCTTATGTTGTCCGTGCTTCGCGAGTTCTCGACTTCGCCGTCATTGACCTTTGCATCTAGGCTTTGTGATATTGAGAGACGAGCTGTTTTGCGCTGTGCGTTTGCCTTTCCATTCTGCACCACCTCTTGTCCCGCACGGCAATTCTCACACAAATATGCAGACGGTCACCAGCAACCATGACAGTACGCCGAACAGCCCCTGCCTCGCCCACTGTGCCTTTTTGGGTCGCTAGTCGGCATGTGGTACTGTGTCCCGGCACCCACGGGACAGGCACCGTCCTCAGCAACAACATCTGTCAGAATCAATTTCCACAGCCTCGGTAACCGAACGTACACGCCCCGTCCACTGGGAATCGTTTACCGAGCGCGCTCCGGAGGTGGATCAATGAGTCCGTACATGCACTGTGCCTAGAAGGTCCATTCCGTCGGGCTCGATACACTGCTCACAAGTGCGCCTCCCCACCCACGGTCTTGGGAGCATGCAATAGCCGGAAATCTCTAGTGTCGAGTCCATGACCGGACCAGTATGTCTACATTTTCAAATATGTCGCTGGTTTACAGGTATAAATGCTGGTCGAAGGGGCCTGTCTACCTCAAGGCATCGAGTTTCAGCTCATCTACTTCTCTCAGAGCTCTTACTCCTCATCGCAGACACCCCTTGACGTTCTCTGCCTCCACCTCGCCGACTTCCAATGGCTTTCCGATCGCTCCTTGCCCTTGTGGCTCTCGCCGCTGTTTCCAACGCTGCACCGACCACGGTGTGCCCCGACGGCACCCATGTCAGCAACGCAGCTTGCTGCCCCTTCATTCCGGTACGGAGTACTTAGTGACCATTGCCAGCTTGATTCTGACAGTGCATATACTTCGCAGCTTATCGACGACCTGCAGAACACCCTGTTCCAGGGCGAATGCGGTGAAGACGGTAGGTGTCCGTCCGCTGACTCCAGCTGGACTTGCGCTGACTCTCTTTCTCGCAGCGCACGAGGCTATCCGACTGACTTTCCGTACGCATTATTCAAATGGTTTGCCGCTACCTGACTCGTGCTGACCACAAACCCCCAGACGACGCCATTGCTATCTCTCAGAGCCAGGGCCCGAAAGCGTGAGTTGCATTTCACATTTGAGACAGCATATCATCTAACGAAGACATTACCAGTGGCGGAGGTGCCGATGGCTCCATGCTCATCTTCCCCACCGTCGAACCAGGCTTCCACGCCAACGCCGGTATCAGCGACAGCGTTAATAACCTCATTCCCTTCCTTTCTACGCACAATGTCAGTGCCGGTGACCTCGTCCAGTTTGCCGGCGCCGTTGCGCTGAGTAACTGCCCCGTAAGTGTTCAGACGGGCTTCATTTTGGATGCAGGTTGGCTCATCCGCTACTAGGGTGCCCCCCGCGTTCAGTTCCTCGCCGGTCGCCCGAACGCGACTGCCCCCGCCGTCGACGGCCTGATCCCCGAGCCTCAGGACGGCGTCAGCCAGATTCTCGAGCGGTTCGCCGACGCGGGCAACTTCAGTCCCTTTGAGGTTATCGCGCTCCTGGCCTCACACTCCATCGCACGCGCTGACAAGGTTGACACGTCCATCGACGCCGCACCCTTCGACTCCGTAAGTGACAATGCTTCCTATCCCAACATCACGCTAACCAGTACTTGCAGACCCCATTCGTATTCGACACCCAGGTCTACCTCGAGGTCTTGCTCAAGGGTGTGGGCTTCCCCGGAAACGGCAGCCAAGTCGGTGAGGTCCCGTCCCCGCTTCCCGCGCACAGCGGCAACGACACCGGCGAGATGCGTCTCCAGTCCGACTTTGCGCTCGCACGCGACCCGCGCACGGCCTGCTTCTGGCAGGGCTTCGTGAACGAGCAGGACTTCATGGTGTCGAGCTTCCAGGCCGCGTTTGCCAAGCTCGCCGTCCTCGGCCACAACCCCAGCAAACTGATCGACTGCTCCGAGGTCGTGCCCACCCCGAAGCCGGCCGTCAACAAGCCCGCCACCTTCCCCGCCACCACCGGCCCGCAGGACCTGCAGCTTTCGTGCCCCACCCAGAAGTTCCCGACCTTGTCTGTCGATCGTGAGTGCCCACAGCCTCCCATTTCTGCGTTGGACACTAACGCTCTGTTCCCGCTGCCGCAGCCGGTGCACAGGAGACCCTTATCCCTCACTGCCCTGACGGTGGCCAGGACTGCCCCTCGGTCCAGTTCAGCGGCCCTGCGCCTGATATCCCTTAAGTCACAGCTGACTTTCTCAGTGTGCTCTAGTCTGATATGTATGAGATCTCTTCCTATTTATTTACCTATCTTGGGCTGCCACTAGTAGCAGTATATACTCCTCAGACTCTGGCTTGTACTATCGCAGACCTCGCCATCGCTTGGGCGACTTGGCGTCTAATATATCGTCTGTTTATTGGTATACCGTCGATGGCACAATTTCGGCAATCTCCACGCCACGAAGGTCTGATAGTCTCCGAGGCGTGCCGACCGTTCAACGTTCAAGTATTGCTCTTGCTACTTCAGTCCGCCTCCGAAGATGCTGGGAATGTTTTTAAGATAGCTCTGTATTCATGCTATAATATAATATCCATATCATGACAGATATAAGGGGAAAGACGGTATGGTATTTTTGTAGATGCTCGGAAGCGGTCCAAAACTGGCCGAACAATGCTACTGATGGCTAGATCCAACCAGATCTCGCTCACCAAATATTCTTACGATTGCATTTATGGACTTGTGTACTTACATCAGGCATGGACGGTTGATATATTCGGTCTAAAAGGTGCTATGTACATGTACAGAGAAGGAACATTAGTGGAGCGTTACAATAAACGAGCGAGGCGTGATGAAATTGTCGCCCCGCCTGATCTCAGACATTTGAGGTCGACTTTGGAGAGACGGCTCGGCTTCTCGGCAGCAGCACGGCTCGACGGCATCTGCAGTGTGACGAAATTAATAAACGAGGGAGCAGGACCCATTTTGCGCACCGGAAAGGATCCGTAGCTCTTGCAAGATCTCAATAAAATACAACAAAAATATGAATATGTAATCAAGGTGTGCATACATCAATTTATGCAAGACCGCCCATGAAGAGTGGTTGTGGTAAGCTACAAGAAGCAGGTTTACTCAAATTTTATAAACCAGGGTGCCATCAAAGTAGAGCGTAGGCAAATCGTAGAACATGTGCCATCAGCGGCCGGTGGTATCAGCGGGGCTGCGAAACATGTTCGACGAGCCGCCCCTGCATCGGGAAAGAAGGCTATCCGGACTAGTCCGGACCCGACCCTTCAAATATTACAGAAATGGGGTGACGAACTTAGAGAACTCAGGTTGCGTGCCAAGCTCTCTAAACCTCTGCCACCTCACTGCCACGGGCGTCTGCCAGGTCTGCCGGCGTGCCGGCAAGGCAGACCTCGGGTTCCGAGCTGCCAATGGCCATGCACACTAGACTCATATATAAGATGTTCTGCGGGTGGAATACAGTATGCGCTGCGTGTTAGAGGAGATGGTACATACCTGACTTCTTAGCCAACTACATGTCGCATTAATGGGGTAGTGGTAACCTGGGTCGTTGCCATCGACCCGCCGGGGGTTCGATTCCCCCTTAATGCATCTTGGTTTCTCAACGTGGTTTTTTTCTTCTTTTCCCGCCGGGGAAGGGTTGCATAATTTTACGTGTAAAGTTTTATACTACATGGGCATGACCAACTGCTCAGTGCAAGATTTCGTACTTTACTCAGGTCGTAGGTGCAGAGCTAGGTGCAGGATCAATATTTCTGTGCCTGTTACTGCCTCATATTGATTCGGCGAACATCGACACTTCTTGTTACTTTGCGCCAAGTGCTTTATCTCAACCAAGTAGCAATTGAGATTTCCTGGTGTCAGCGGTAAAATAATGAACTGAGACCAGCTGAGGAGTCTTGCCCACGCCTAATATAACTCGGCAGGCGTCCTCGACACTTCCCTTTCAGGCTTGCCACCGTTCGCCAAGGCTGCTAGGCTCAGGCTGCAAAGCTTCGGAGTCGCAACCGGCTGCAAGTGGGAGGACAATTTAAGTTAGTAGTCACGGCTTCTGCAAACCTAGATAACTAACAAATCTCGCGGGCTCTCTATGGTCCCACGAAGCGTGGCAAGTCGTCGTTCAAGCCACAAGGCCTTAGACGAAGTATTTGTTGCTGAAGCTGCGTACACGACTCTCTTCAAGTATGTTTTATGTGCTGGATGTGTTCTTTAAGCCGGCCTTTGGCTCGACAGTGTGCGCCTGTCTGAATAAATGCGCGCCATGCTACGAACGTTAACTTTGACCTTCGAACATCGTCCGCAAGCCCAGATGGCACACCCAGACGATCTCGCTGCTCATGGCCGCGGAAAATCGTCGCGCTGGCCTGAAATTTCTCAGCGTGGACTTGGTATTTGGGACGCTATGAATCACGACAGGGGGCTGATCCAATTACTCAATCGACCTGCGCCGCACACACAAGATGGGTCCGGCGAAACACTGGCGGCAAGTCAGTCCGTTTCAATTCTGGTGCTCAGGAGGTTTCGTGATCGCTTACGCTCCGTAGCTCGTTATGTACGGAAGACATTATATTTAGGAAGCAAAAAAGGTACAGGCTGCACAATCTTTGGGACCGCCGACATCACGCCGAGTCAAAAGAACACCGGTATCTTTAGCCATGATTTAGAGCCGGATGAATGAACTTTGCCGTGATACCGCTTAGTCGACAGCCGGGCCGGTGAACTGGACAGTGTTGCACGTCATGCTGCCGTCCGAGCAGTGCGGGATCTCCGTCTCCTGTGAGCCGGCTGTACCAGAGTCGAGAGTCAGCTTCATTGGACAGCAAGCGAGCACACCTGGAAAACACATACCGTCGACGGTCAGCGTCGGGAATTGCGAGGTCGTGCACGACAGCTCCAGGTCCTGAGGGCCAGTCGTCGCCGGGAAGCTCGCAGGCTTGTTGACCGCGGGCTTCGGCACAGGGACGACGGCCGAGCAGTCAACGAGATCGGCGCGGTTGTGGCCGAGGATCGTCATCTTGGACATGGCCGCCTGGAAGCTCGATGCCATGAGCTCCTGCTGGTTGACGAAGCCCTGCCAGAAGCACGCCGTGCGTGAGTCGCGCGCCAGCGCAAAGTCCGATTGCAGACGCAGCTCGCCGGTGTCGCTGCCGACGGTGAGCGGGAGCGGAGAGGCGACCTCGCCGGTGTTGTTGGGGGTGCCAGGGAAGCCGACACCCTTGAGCAGGACCTCGAGGAAGACCTGAGTGTCGAACACGAATGGAGTCTGCACGAGTAGATTATTGTCAGTGGAGTCCGACTCCCAAGGGAGAGGAAGCACGGATAATTACGGAGTCGAAAGGCGCGGCGTCGATCGTCGGGTCAACCTTGTCGGCACGAGCAATGGAGTGAGAGGCAAGGAGGGAGATGACTTCGAAGGGGCTGAAGCCGCCAGCATCGGCAAACCGGTCGAGGATCGACGTGACGCTATCCTGCGGCCCGGGGATTAAGCCGTCAACGGCCGGCGCAGTCGCATTCGGGCGACCAGCAAGGAACTCCAGCTGCGGCGCACCCTGTTGTTGGAGATTGTGTGAGCACGAAGTACAGCAGGAGCTGGGCAGTCTGCGGTTGCTTACCGGGCAGTTGCTCAGTGCGACCGTGCCTGCGAACTGGATCAGGTCGCCAGCGGTGACGTTGGGGAACTGGGACAGGAACGGAATCAGGTTGTTGACACTGTCGCCGATGCCCGTGTTCGCTGCGAACGATGGCTCAACGGTCGGGAAGATGAGCATCGACCCGTCGGCTCCTCCTCCGCTGTACATTCGGGGTCAACAACCTTCAGACTACGGATCAAGGCGTGGTCACACTCACGCTGCGGGACCCTGGCTCTGAGAGATAGCGATGGCGTCGTCTGGCAAGGTAATAGTAAGTATGCTGGTAACCGGTAACTGGCTTCGACACAAATGTCACTCACGGAAAGTAAGACGGATGACCTCGTGAGCTAGGAAGAGATTTCAACCTTGTTGCTACAAAGCGGGAAGGCAAACGGCCTACCGTCTTCACCACAGTCTCCCATGAATAGCGTGTTCTGGAGCGCTGACACGAGCTGCATTCAAGAAATTCAGCCACCGTCGTAGCGCAGGGTGATACGAAGTAGACGTACAGGGACGAAGTTGCAGCACATTTCGTCGGGGACCTGTGTGCCATCGGAGCAGGTGGTGGTGGTGGAAGCCGGAGCGGCGCGCACGGTCGCAGCAACGGCGACGAGGGCGAAAAGTGAAGAGAATTTGAAAGCCATTGTGTGGCCTACAGAGCGAAGGTAGATGGCTCGAGAGAAAGAGAGTTCGATGTCGAGAGGAGAATGTGAGTGGAGAGCTCGTTGTCCTGAGGAGTACCCTGCACCCCCGCACATCTTTTATACCTTTTCACCGACGCCATTTTCACGCTCACGGGCTGCACAAGAACACACCAGTGCCGCCAAATGGTGCTTTGCATTCCCAAAATTGAGAATGTCGGGCCCAGTGTATGCAACGACCCATACACGGAGCTTCGCATCCTTGCGAGCCATCCACGGGTCTGGTTATTGACGGAGGGAGGGATCTTGCTGAATCATGAGGGAAAACACCAATGAATGCCCAATGATTTCCAATACTCTCAGGACTTGTGAGTGACAGTCGCACATTTGGCAGTGTACGAACCTGTCCTTCGGGACTGGAGTGATGAGGCGCGCGTATCCATGAGGCCCAGCAGGAACGCGCTGGGAGCGTCGGGAAACGGGATGCCACGAAGGAGAGATGATATGCGAGGGGACTTAAATCGCGGCTGTGGCAATTAGATCCTCGAGAAGGCAGTAAATTTATGCGGTCCCTTCCGTCCAGAGTGAAAACGTCCAGAATGGAATGTTTTCCTCCCAACTCGACCGCACTCATGCCTATCAAAAGCATTCGTTAGACTCTGTATAACCAAAACGACATACAGAGCATTAATCCAGAGCTTACTAACGAGATGCAACCCATATATGCGCGCGTCAAGCTAAGCGAGAACGTCTGATCGACATATCATCGAATGTGAACCACACCGGCCAGTCTACACGATTTGTTAGGCCCGACGACGAGGTATGAGAGTATCGCGGTGCCGGACCACAGCGTTGGAGCCGCCAGCAAATTGACGACGATGTGCTAGCAATGGTAGGACGAGTGTCGCATCCAGACGCAGCAAAGCACGTGGTGACATCACGCAAAAATAGACGTTGTGAGTTCTTCAGCGTCCGGGTCGAACGAGAGAACAACAGGCTAAATCGGCGTTATGCGTACCGTGTATTCCCTGCGCCGTATGCTTGAGACTCGGGATAGGAGAAGTTGTTGTCGCGGACACTGCAAGGCCGGACATCGCACGATCGCCGCTAGCTACCTCAGAAATCCTGAGGTGCAGTGGTAGCCGGCTGGTCCTTCAGCTTGAACGCGGACTATGGGAAAACATCAACCACAACTTCACAAGACCCATGCCAAGTACACTGGAGTGACCTACCACGATTCAATGGCACGGTCGCCGAAGACGAGAAGAGATCCTGGCGTTCTTCGCCCGTGATGTGAATAGACGGCGAATACACCATATGCGTCGTCTGCTCAGTCAGCATAGTATCGTGACTCAGATCGTGCCGTACATGAGGCCAAATTCTCAACATACTCGGAGTCCAGGCCTAGGCGAACTTACGGTAGATACCCACAGGTTTTCATTGTGATGACTGTCATACCGGTCATGTCTCCTGGGAGAATCTCCACTCATATCTTCCCAGAGACATGCCCCCTCCGCTCGTGCCAGGCTACTCTGACGTCCGCCGACTTGTGACGAACCGCCCTAGCAATCTCCACACGGGAACGTGCAGCGAGGTACCGCGTCACTGGCAGATAGGCACGCAACATCGAGGAGGGTAAACGTATCGGGATTTAAGCGCATGCGAGGCATCCCCCCGCTGTACGCATGAAGTGGATTTGACGCTGATGTACATACCGATCCTACGAGATAGTCTCCCGCAGTGGCGTTTCATTCGCAATTGCTGCACAATGTTAACTAGCTTACCGCGATCAACGCCACGATGTTTTAAGGTTTAGCTATGGCGGGCGACGCTACGTTTGATACTCGGTATATCTTGGCGAGCCGTGGTACGGGTGCGCATGCGTGAATCGCCGAGATCTTACCAGCACGATGTGGCCGGTATGCAGCAGCATATGCCGCTGTAATAGGTTCCGCTGTCGCGGAGTTGACTACGACAGCGTGCGGTTTCAAGCGGGCGTGTCTTCCGTTAAACTCGCACCTCTATCATAATGATCCACGACGATTTCCTATGTTGTCCAGTGGTCCTCATTCAGTTCGTAGATCGACCCGTGAAAACCCCACGAGCCAAGGAAGTGTTACGGACTGGAGCACTTCTACGTATCGTGCCGAATGACGAGGGCTTGTCTGGATGTGCAGGACGCGCCGGAAGACCACCGAGTATTGGGGATCACAGGCGTGATAGTTCGACATCGCGGCTGGTATCTACCTCCCACAGCTTTTCGTCCACTTCGCGGCAGGTTCTAAACAGCACAGGTCTCATGGCAGTGGGAAGTTCGAGGCGCAGATCCGGCCGGATGTTTTAGGCGCACAATCTTCCCGCAATTGACGCTTTGAAACAGGCACTGGCCGTCTTGACCACAAACTTTACAATAAAACTGTTTTATTCTAAGGATACGTAACTTACGAGATGTGCAGACCAATTATGTAGAATCTCCATTGAATCCAGCAACAACATATCCGGGAGGCAAACTAGTAACTACGTTGTTTATATGGCATAACGAGCTGCTGTACAGTATATCACTTGCATGAGGGGATACCCACAAAACACACCGATCAAAACGAAGAAAGGAAGCCAAGAGCCACAGGTACCGCGAGCGAAACCTTACAACGTCATGAATGCACCTTACACGTGAAGATATTATCATAACTAATGCAACTGTTGTGGAGAATTGAGCTTGATCTACATTATCTGGAGGGCTGGTGGAACCAGATAGACAGGACCGAGTGCGCCGGAGGCAAAAAATCGCGAGGACGCATAGTGGCACCACACGAGCGAAGCGGCAAAGCCCCAGGCCCAGGAACGCACCACTCCGCCGCGAAAGGCAGGTTACGCACTCCATCAAAATAGCCTAACTGCCCGAATTCTTGCGCGTGCGCTCGAGGGACGACCGCTGGCGCGCGTTTGAGCTAGATGCGCTGCTGAGGTCAAAGGTGCCGACTGTGTTGCCGAAGCCCGCGAGGCAGAGCGTCCGCGCGCACACGAAGGGCGCTACGCGCGTGAAGTGGAGTCGCGGGACGAGGTCGACGTTGATTCGTCGTTTTCCGCTGATGACCGTGTTCGAGGGTGCAGCTGCAGTCGGACGAGATGCATCGGATTTTGCTTCTTGTGCACTACGAGTCGTATGAGGCTTGCCGTGATCGGCTGTCCGCATCTCGGCATCCAGAGCGATGAGTGGTGACGCCTTGAGCTGAGAGGTTGCTGGTTCAAACGTCCATAGCTCCCACCTCTCTAGCGTCGCCGGCGTAAGCCCCTTGTTATCTGCCCTGGGTTGAATCCCGATAGTGCTCTTGCTGCTGCTCCCTCGACTGACACTGCCTCCACCCACCATTAGTATCCTCGATCTTCTTCGGATCCCGACAATCTGTCCACCCGAGACGCCCCACGCCCCCCGCTCAAACGTCGCCTCCGCCGTGCGCGAGACGATCAGGTTCTCCCAGAGGGACGAACGCTGCTGCCCCGGCGTCCTCAAGCAGGCTGACGTCGTCCCCGCAGAAGCAGCATCTTGCGGCCCAACAGGTGCTGCACGCCCATCGCCCTGCTCATCCGCCTCGAACGGGATGAGCGATTCGAGGGATCGCCTCTCCGACGTTCGCCTTGAGTGCACGCCGTGTGCGGAGACAGGATACATTGTCGATGAGTCGAAGACGGATGGTCCCGACGAGAACGACGGTATTCGGGCGCGTGGATGGGCGGGCGAAGATGTGCCAGAGGACGGCCCAAACGAGGCGGAGCTCCCACTGCGAGTCTTCCTTGCTTGCATACTTGACATCACTATGGGTTGGTTCTCGGGACACGAGCAGCGTCGAGTGGGCAGCGAGAGGTAGGCTCGGTGGAAGAGGACAACCTGGCCGACAGAGAAACACAGCGCGAAGCTCTCAACTGGCAGCTCCCTGCACGACAAGCAACGCTTCGTTGTCACAGGCACGACACGCAGCTGGCTGATAGAGCCGTACGGCTCGTCGATGGTGTACATGCATTCGCCCGTGGCACCGTCCCAGAGCGACACGACGCCGGCCTGGGTGGCAGCACCGATGATGATCCGCGCCTGTCCTTCAAGCTCCATGCAGCATACATGCACCTGCGACACCAAGTCTGCGGGGTTTCCAGCGGGGATGCAGCACTCCCGTGGAAGCAGGCCGCTCGTACCATCGATGTCGCAAAGCTCGAGTGTTCCATCTTCCAGGGCAAAGCCAACAAGCAGCGTTCCGGTGGGTTGCACCTGCAAGAGCATCGACTTGACCACCGATGCCGAACGTGACGGCCGGATATAAGTCGGGACAGCAAAGGAGCCTACAGTCCACTTGATGGCAAGCCCATTGTCGTACGTCGCATATACACTGCCTACCGATTCTTCTGGCGTTGGTGGGATCGTGCTGCGACCGCCGCTTGCCTTTCGGGGCGTCGATACGCCGGTTGTGTGCGGGGAACTCGAGGCGAATGCAATCTGGGTCACTGCGTGGGCGCTCTCCGTGCTGAGGTGCGGCAGGGGTTGGACGCGGTTCTGACAGATGCGCCAAACACCGATCACTCCCGCCACCGTGCCGGCCGCGACGTATGTCCCTCTGTCGTTGACCGCAAGGGCCGTGAGAACGGCGGACGCTGATGAGGTGCTGCCGCCACTGCCAAGGAGTACGTCGGTAGGGTCTAAAGAGACAGACGTCTTCGTCTCCTTTCTCCACAGAACAAACTCGTTCTGCAGACCAATAGAGGCAACTACGCTGCCATCCCTGCTGGCAGAGACGAGGTCGACGTCGGTAGCGAACGCGCGGGGTAGTGCTTGGAAAGTGATGCCACTGTCAACCGCCGGCATCGACTCTTCTTCTGGTGGTGCGTCTGGCTCCTTGCGGTTTCGTTGAGCCTCGAGGAGCTCTGCATCCTTGAGCAAGTACAGGAGTAGACCATACAACAGCGTGGTCGTTACGAAAGTTGGCGCCAGGATGGCCTTGAGCGCCCACTCCAGCGGCCGCGCCGTGCGCCACCATAGTCGCGACCACCGCGAGCGATGCATTCTGTCATGCTCCGGCCGTGTCTGGTATTTATCGTGGGTGGTATCGTTTATCGCAGAGTCGTGCTGCAAGATGACGATCGTGGGCGCTTCGACGCGGATGTGAACCAGGTCGTAGTTCACCGGGTTGAAGGTGCGCCATATATTTTCTGCGGGAGAGACGCCTTCTAGATTTTGTGATTTTCCCATACGAAGGCGGTTGCGCTGAAGGGAGGACATGGGCTGCAAGCTGGATCTATGCGACCTCGTCAAATAGTACAGCGCTGCAGTGACACCAAGGAGCTGGGAAGTTGAGTCGTCATTAGTATGGATGTTGGTTGGCACGGGCATATCCTACTCACAAGCACCAGGCTACTATTCTTGGTCGGGCGCCCTCGCAGCATATGCTGCACCTGGGTAGCCAATCGGCCTAGCTTTGACCGTGGCTGCTTGACTGCTGCCTTGGTCGACTCCGGCACAAGTGGCGTGGCAAGATTTGAGCCCTGCCGTAACAGCTCGTCCAGCTGCCGTGGGTCTCTGTCAGTGCCTGCATCCTATATGCGCGCTCAATAGACTTACCTCTAGGCGTTGTATATCGATCGAGAGGACAGTTACGAAGAAAGTGTGCACAAGGAACCAATGCGCAACTAGCACCACAATGGCGAAGGCGCAGAACTGGCGAATGGCCCCTGTGGAGAAGAACGCAATGACGCCGAGTACCGCGTTGTAGGTGCAAAGCTTGAGAGAGTTCGACGTGCCGGCGTAGCCCAGGCCCTCGGCTATACGCTCTTTCACCGGTAACGCGATGGACGTCTTCACGACTGCATCGACCTGGGAAGACGTGAAGACGACACGCGAGCTTGGATGACGTGAGACTTACGATGCTAAACATGTTCTCGACTCCGATGAAGATGACAACGATTGGGAAGATCTCCCTACACAGCAGCATGAGTGAGATACATGTCAGATATTGGATCAGGACTCACCATGGTACCATAGTAATCCTAAACCCAACAAGTGCGCATACACTCAGGCTCGTGATTGTACTAACGATTATTTCAACAATACCCGTGAATGCGAGACCGACTCGCGAATGCACGGTAGTCATGCGCTTGAAGAGACGCCAGAAGTAGACCAGGAAGATGAAGTAGGCTGTGTAAGTGAACGCTGACAGGACGGACGGATGTGGAATCGGAGTCGGCTCTTTATCGTACTGGTGGCAAGTTGAGTGAGATTTCAGCACCTGCGGCCGGTGGCACTGACCTCGAGCGCAAGCAGTTGAGGCTGCTGAGAAAGCACAACAACATCGCCTCGCAGAGACGAAGCAGCATCTTCTACGACGTTCAACCATGAGTTGTGCCTGCTGTTCGAAACGCAGTCGGCCTCGGGGAAGAAGTAGGTGAGAACCGGGGTTGCGCCGTCTTGGGAATCTTCGCCGTCATCTCGTCCAGCCAACACCATCTCCGTGGTGATGGTCAGACCGTGGGTAGACGCATTGCTATATGGGCCAAGCGTCTTGATAACGTCCGTGTCCCGCAGAAGTAGGTCCTCCTCGTAGTCCCAGAAGGCCAGAGGGCTCAGGACAAGACATCTTCCGTGTGGCGAGCGTATGCATGAAACTTTCTGAGATGCAAGGACCTCGGAAAGGCGTCGTTCAAGGTTAAGGGTTGATAGCAGGGAGCGCTGGCTTAGGGCCGGGTACGTGTCTTCGGTTTCGTCCACATCATGCACGAGGATCCGCTCGACGCGGACGACCCCGCCCTTGCCACAGCGCGCACGCGCAATGGAGTCGTCGCGAACACGCAACGAGTCTTGGTCCTCCCACAAGTGGCGAATCCGGTCCGTAGCAAAGTAATTAGAGAAGTCGTCCGGCGTCAGGAAAGCGTCAAGGAGACGGAAGGAGAACGAGAAGGACTCTGCCTTCGTCGAGGAATATACAGAAATCGCGGGGAAGAGAAGGCATGAGATGACAACGGAGGAGATGAGAATGACCCTGATTTGATGTGTTGCACAGTGACTGCAGCGAGGATGAACGTGTTAGTTGGGACTCGAGAGGCTGTGGGACGTACACTCCAAAGCGTCGAAAGAACCAGATTCCAAAATTCCGCACTCTCTGCAGCGGTGACATCCTATCGCGTCCTGCTCCGTCTAGGCGTTCTCCAAGCGTGAAAAAGAAGGTGCTCAAAAGACCGGCTTGGCGTTCACTGGCAGTGTATCATGTCACTCCCTATGTGAGATGGCGACGGGTGAGAGAGCGGGCTTCGTGCTCGGACTTTGGGATGCTCACGAGTAAAACACTCCGGGAGTGGTGGGCGAGGATGTACGAGGCTGACGAGTGCCGGTGTCGAGGAGACACGGAGCGGAACGCAGCCTTTTGAGCTTTGCTGCTGTCCCCGACAGGCGCGTCGAGCCGCTGCGGAACTTGCCGAAACAACAAGAGATCCCATATGGGCGCTCAGCCACACCGATTAGATAGGCGCCACCCCCACCCCACGTCCGATGTTTTCTCAGTCCTGGCTGCGCATCCGTTGACAGAGCAGCAGCTCCAAGATTTTTTTCTAGGGCACTTCTGAATGATATGGGACCCCTGTATTTTTTGTACTAAATTATGAATTTATTGAGGCTTAGTATGCTTCAAAAACCAGTAAAACCTCGCTAGCGGCTAGAACTGGGTTTCCTTCCCTCAAACTTCCGATTTCCATCTGACAAGGGTCCCTTTAAAGAACACGAGGCTTGCCCCCACTCTGAAGACGGCTCTCCATGACTCCCGAGTGCCTTCTATGACGATGAAGCTGGGAAATCTTATCACACATACGGAGCCGCCGTGGATCATGGTGAGGGAGAGGCGGGGAAACAACAGAACGTGAGACAGCAGCACGTAAATTTCTACAGTCGGTGGTGCCACCGACCGACGTACATGAGAGCCTAGTGCTAATCCAGACGAGAACAAGCGCGGGACGAGTGACCGATTGCCGGATGAGAAACCTTGTAATAAAATCCCAAGATAAATAACCCTCGACGAGAGATTTAAGCGGGGCCGTTGAACTGGACGGTGTTGCACGTCATGTTGCCGTCCGAGCAGTGAGGGATCAGAGTCTGCTGCGCACCAGCTGTACGAGCAACGATGGTCAGTACGGTTGCAACCAACAGCGAGGAACATCAGCAGACACGTACCGTTTGTGGTCAGAGTCGGGAACTTCTCGGCCGTGCACGTGAGCTCGAGGTCCTGCGGGCCGGTGGTGGCGGGGAAGCTCGCGGGCGTGTTCACGGCGGGCTTGGGCGTGGGAATGACGTCGGAGCAGTCGATCAGGTCGTTGCGGTTGTGGCCGAGGACGGCGAGCTTGGCCATCGCCGACTTGAAGCTCGACGCCATGAACTCCTGCTCGTTCACGAAACTCTGCCAGAAGCAAGCAGTGCGCTCGTCGCGGGCGAGGGCGAAGTCAGACTGGAGACGCATCTCGCCGGTGTCGGTGCCGACGGTCGTTGGGAGAGGAGATGCAACCTCGCCGGTGTTGTTGTCGGTTCCGGGGAAGCCGACGCCCTTGAGCAGGACCTCGAGGAAGACCTGGGTGTCGAACACGAACGGGGTCTGCAAATATCGGTTAGCGGGTGATTATGATAAGAAACATTGTCGCTTACGGAGTCGAAGGGCGCAGCGTCGATCGTCTCGTCGACCTTGTCCGCGCGAGCGATGGAGTGGGAAGCGAGCAGGGCGATGACTTCGAAAGGGCTGAAGCCACCAGCATCGTCGAACCTCTCGAGAATGTGGGTGACGTTGTCCTGGGGCTCGGGGATCAGGCCGTCGACGGCGGGAATAGTGTGGTTCGGGCGGCCAGCCAAGAACTCGAGTTGAGGAGCACCCTATAGATCGTAAAGTATGAGACGGGTACCGCCATCAGTGAGTGGCAAATATACTTACGGGGCAGTTGGTGAGCGCGATGGCACCTGCGAACTGGACAAGATCGCCAGCGCTGATGGTGTTGTGCTTCTGCATGAAGGGGATGAGATTGTTGACGGAGTCGCTGATACCGTTGTTGGCCGAGAAGTTGGGCTCAATGGTCGGGAAGAGGAGCATCGAGCCGTCAGCTCCACCACCGCTATTATCGTGAAGATCTGTCAGAAAATCGTACTTGCAAGTGCAGACGGAAATTGCCTACGCAGAGGGACCCTGGCTGCGGGAGATCGCAACAGCGTCGTCTGTAAAATAATCATTAGAATCCCCGATTTATTGCACTATGTGGTTTCGCTTACGGAAAGTAAGACGGATGACCTCGTGAGCATCTTCACCGCAGTCGTTCATCAGGATATTCTCCTGCAGATCTTGCGCGAGCTGGATAAATTGTTGAGCGCGCCGCACTGAGTGAGATAACGAGAAATGTCACATACGGGGATGAAGGCGCAGCAGGCCTCGTTGCTGACACGGGTTCCGTCAGAGCAGACTGCCTGAGTGGTAGCCGGCGCAGCGGTGGTGACGGCAGCAAGAGCGACCAAGGCGAAGAGCGAAGTAGCGAAAGCCATTGCGATGTCTGACTTGTGGAGAGCTAGGAGGGGTCGCAGAGCGAATGAGACCTGGTGTCCTGAGGAGGTTGGCGAGGAGATAACTCGGTGTCCTGAAGTCTTTGGCTGCACATCGTCAGGTTTTTATACCGCACAAAATCTGCGCTGCCCCTGCACTGAACATCGCAAGGCACCTAGATGCACCGAAGACACGGGAAGGCACGCTGTCCAGCTCACAGGAGTGTGGGTGGCCAGCCCGGTACCGTGAACGCTGGGCTCTGCTTGGCTTGGCAGAAATATTGCAGTCCCGCCAGCTCGGGATGTGTTTGGTTCGGGTGCGCATCGTCGCCTCTTGCGGGACCGCGTACCCAATGACGGGTTGCCGGTTTGTGACGCTCACAGGAGTGTGAGCGGCAAGCACGTCTTTGTCGAGGGCGGATTATCTCCTTTGCGCATCGCCATGCGATTTGCGGGCTCCATGAGAGAAAACATACATATTGCAGGGGCGCCTATAATTTGTCGGGATGACTGACAGTTGGATATTGCGAGGCAGTGTGGGAGTACGGTACCTGGGGAACAACCCTACGCCTCGGTAGGGACAGCAGAGCAAACCAGTGGTAAGCCTTTAGGAGGCCAAGATCGGACTCTCAGCTCTCGGTTTCTGGCCTGCGGTGCAACTATATATTGAAAATGGTGAAGCGAGGTGGAGCGGCCCCGCCGTTACGTGTCGATCCTTGACTAGTGTCTGCGTAGTCGCTAAATAAGGTATCGCGGCGGGTCCCCGAGCGGAACGTTGGCAGGTTCCCTCACCATTTCCGCTTGTGACAATAATGAGCACGGTGCGCACACACCAAACCAAGGGTATGAGAGCGTACCGTTGCCATACCATAGCGTCGGAGTGGCTTTCAGCAACACCGGACACGGATGACCGCGAAATTCGTGTCGGGTGTGGTGATATTCACAGGAGCTGCAGGGCATTAGGCATCATTTTACACAGTAGCATCAACAAAGATGCGTGAAAATTGCAGCTTCCCACGCTCCTGTAGTGCTAGCAAGAAAAAGTGACCAAGGTTCACAGCCTCTTAGTTGTCGAAACATCCCGGAACGCCGGATGTGAAGTGTGAGAGGAAGGGCTCATCCGTTCCATATGCTTATCCTTAAGTGATAGGATGTCGAATATTGACCTTTCCCATCAGATCAGAAGGCCTGTGGTTGGACCGTAAAATTAGCTTGAGAACGCCGGTCACAGGCTGCTGGACGTTACCGGTGCCTCGACAGTATCCAACCCAGTATCCGAGTCGTGCCGGAGGAAGAACATGCGTGAAGCAAGCCCACGGTTTCGAGAGGCCTTCCGGTTCATGGAAACGCGATGTGCTGCGGCGTCTCACGCCGGGTAAAGTGATGGTTGTACACCAATGATAGCAGCGGCATTATCACACTGGAAGGTAACGACACATTGGGTATGAACCGTCGTCCGGCGAGATCGTGAATCCAAAGTTATGGGTTACAACTGTTCGACAGACCCAGGCCAGCGCCAGAGTTGCGGAAACTCCCATCTGTGGGCACTTCAGTGGAGCATCTCCCATGATTCAGACTGGACAGAGCAGCCAGCGGTGCAGACGGTGATGGCGGGGGGTTGGACTCGTCGCTTTGCTCGAGGATGAAAGATGGTCGTCTGGTTCAAGTCAAGCAGGGTCGGCGCAAAGACGGAAGGGCGGACTTCGTGGCGCGGTGATGGCCCGGCGCTTGAGATACGCCGACGGAAATTGCCTTTTGTGCCCTTGACCTTCGAGACCTACCACCAGCACCATAGGCTTCACCATGGCCATCGAGACGACTATCTGCTCCCCTATCTTATTATCTGCTTGTGCTGGCGACTGCTTTGGCCTCTCATTTTTCCCTCGTCGACCCACGAAGTAGCTCAAAGCATGCGGCTGGCTCAAGCGACCGTGTCATACCTCAGGCCGCCGCCGCTATGAAGTCCTTACCTCCTCGGAGAGCACTTTCCACACCATATAACAGTAGAAGCTACCAAAGAGAGCTGATTGTGATGGAGAAGGTGTCCATGAATGTAAAGCCATGTACAGGGTTTACGGTTATATTTAGAGACATGGGTACTGCCAGCCTCCAGGGCACTGGAAAGGTAAGTTTTACCGCTATGCTCTGCGTATGCCAAGATTCAAGCCCTTCTACAGCATCTTATGCGCTTATCTTGCGGAGCAGCTCCTGCACACAGTCTAATTACTCTTCGCCGCCCATGTAGCTGCCGTAGATTGTCCTAGATCAATCCTGCTATTAACACAAGCAGTCAACTTAGCTGTAGGTGTTAACAGGCTCCTTTGTTTACTCGCATATGAACCTTGTATGTTTCTTGTAGTACTGCGCCATCCTCGCCCTTTCAAGCCGAGCTCGGCCCACCTTCATCTGCGAAACTGAAGTTCCTATATTTAGCCCGGCCCGACTGGTCGGTCGCGGTGAACTTCGAACATGCGCATGCATGGCACGACTTTGCTAACGCCATGGGACTTTGTAATACAGTGAGCTATTCATGGCTCTGTTGCGACGCACTGCTGCTAGTGGCCTTCGTCTATCAGAGATAATTTGGTCACATTACGAGGTGGACCATTTGCCGGACGCACACGGCTCACTGGATTCTCTACGCTCGCCACATGTTTGGAACACGGCTAACAACTCGCAGCGATGAGATAGTCACTGTCGTTTTGGACGGCTCTCCATCGGTTCCCAGCCCTTCTGCCTGGTTGATGAAGCTAACCCATCGGATCTGTACGATGCGGCGCCCAGGGCTTTGTCGAGAGCCCTAAGCATGGAAACACTCTTAACGCACATGGGTTCTCTTCTTCTCAACATGTTCTCGCCATAGGACTGGAGTTGTCCAGGGTCGAATTCTGGCGTTTACTAGTACCACAGGACAACATGAACGTAGTGCCATTATCAGGTCCTCAGGTGCCACCGCTCGAGCTGCAATGCGCGGCTGTATGTGAACGGGGCGCTGAGATGTCCCCGCGTCTTCTCGAACCTACCGCTGTCGCCGATAAAATCCGCATTTTTCTCAACAGTGTCGGGAATTCCCATTTAAGGTATTCCCGACTCTAGTCCCGACATTTACGGATCATCCAATTTTTCCCACACCTTACTCCCGCCCGCAGCCGTGTCGGCGTCCCGCATCCCCTTCCCATGTTTGTTATCATTCCAATCCAACGGGTTTCCGCAGCCTAAGCCTTCCAACTTACTAGCTTTCCGCTCGATATCGATACCACGCCCGCAGCACAGGATCGGCATCAGGCACATATCTCTCCCTCTCCTGGTTACGCTGCGGGAGCGCTAAGCCCGAGGCAATCGCATACGAAATTATGCCTTTGGGCTGAGAGCTGAGGAGACTGGCTGCTGTGCTTACCAGGTCAAGAGGCGTTCAGCGTCTGAGTACCACGCCAACTAAGCGGTCAATGCATATGGTTGATTCACCGTCTATTCACATCACGGGCAGAAAACACCAGCATCTCTTGCTGCTTCCGACGTCTATACTATTGAGCCGCGGTAAGTCACTCCAGTGCAGCTGACCCGGGCCTGGTCATTGATTGATATTTCCCATAGTTCACATCGTAGTTTAAAGGACCAGTCGGCTACCGCTGCACCTCAATTTTTTTGTGAGGTAATTGGCGGTGATCGTGCGATGTTCGGCCTTGCAGCCTCCGCAGCGATTCGCATCTTGAGTCTCAAGTACGGCGCGGGGAATACCCGGTATGCATAACGCCGATTTAGCCTGTGCTCGTCTTGTTCGACCCGGACGCTGAAGAACTCGCAACGTCTATTTTTGCGTGATGTCACCACGTGCGCTGCTGCGTCTAGATGCGACACTCGACCTATCATCGCTAGCACATCGTCGTCAATTTGTTGGCGGCTCCAGCGTTGTGGTCCGGCACCGCGATACTCTCATACGTCGTCGTCGGGCCTAAAAAAACGTGTAGAGTGGCCGGTGTGGTTCACATTCGATGATATGTCGATCAGACGTTCTCGCTTAGCTTAACGCGCACATATATGGGCTGCACTTCGTTGGTGAGCTCTGGGCTATGGCTCTGTGTGTCGGTTTTGTTATACAAAGTCTAACGAATGTTTTTGATAGGCATGAATATGGTCGAGTTGGGAGAAAAGCATTCCACTCTGGTTGGAAGGTGTCGCGCAGGTTCACTAGCATCTCGAGGACTCATCACTACAGCCGTGATCTAAGTCCTCTCACATACCGTCATCCTCCGTGGCATTATGTTACCCGACACCCAGCGCGTTCCTGTCGGGTCTCATGGATACCCGCGCCTCATCACGCGTCTCATTATCCCAATCCCGAAGGACAGGTTCGTACACTGCCAAATGTGCGACTGTCACTCACAAATTCTGATTATTGCAAATTTTGGGCATTCATTGGCTTTCGGCCTTATGATACAGCAAAGTCCCTCCATCCATCAATAACCAGATCCGTGGAATGCTCGCAAGGATGCAAAGCTCCGCGTATGGGACCTTGCCTACACCGGATCCGACGCCCACAATCTTGGGAATGCAAAGCACTGTTTGGCGGTACCGGCATGCTCTCGCGCAGCTCGTCAGCGCGAAACAGCGTTGGCGAAAAGGTATATAAGATGGACAGAAGTGCAGGGTACTCCTCAGGACAACGAACTCTCCACTCGCATCCCCCTCTCGACACCGAGTTCTCTCTAGCTCGAGTCATCCATTCTCGCTCTCTAGGCCACACAATGGCTTTCAAATTCTCTTCGCTTTTCGCCCTCGTCGCCGTTGCTGCGACCGTGCGCGCCGCTCCGGCCTCCACCACCGCCACCTGCTCCGATGGCACACAAGTCCCCGACGAAGTGTGCTGCAACTTCGTTCCTGTATGTTTACTTCACACTTTTCCACGGTGTTATAGCGACTGAAACACTGTAATGCAGCTTGTGTCAGCTCTCCAGAACACGCTGTTCATGGGAGACTGCGGTGAAGACGGTAGGCCACTCATCTTCCCTGGTTTATAGCGATAACACTAACGTTTCATCCAAGCCCACGAGGTCATCCGTCTTACTTTCCGTGAGTGACACTCTGTCAGACGTAGCTGGCAGCAATCTTACCATTATCTTGCCAGACGATGCCATCGCTATCTCTCAGAGCCAAGGTCCCGCGGCGTGAGTGGCACCAAATCTTGACGAGTGGTCGGAAGTATACTGACCGCGAATACGCAGTGGTGGAGGAGCTGACGGGTCAATGCTCATCTTCCCGACCGTCGAGCCATCGTTCGCAGCGAACGCGGGCATCGGCGACAGTGTCAACAACCTGATTCCGTTCCTGTCCCAGTTCCCCAATGTCACCGCCGGCGACTTGATCCAATTCGCAGGCACGGTCGCACTGAGCAACTGCCCGGTAAGCGGTCGTGTGCTGCTTAGCATCTGTTGCGCTCCGCACTGACATGGTCTCTCACAACAGGGTGCGCCGCAACTGGAGTTCCTTGCCGGTCGCCCGAATGCGACTGCGCCGGCCGTTGACGGCCTGATCCCCGAGCCACAGGACAACGTCACGTCGATCCTCGACCGATTTGCCGATGCTGGTGGCTTCAGCCCCTTCGAGGTCATCTCCCTCCTTGCCTCTCACTCCATTGCTCGTGCCGACAAGGTTGACCCGACGATCGACGCTGCGCCATTCGACTCCGTAAGTAGCCATGCTGTCTCTCTTGGGAGTCGAACTCCGCTGACAATAATTCACCCGTGCAGACTCCGTTCGTGTTCGACACTCAGGTCTTCCTCGAGGTTCTGCTCAAGGGTGTCGGCTTCCCTGGCACCCCCAACAACACCGGCGAGGTCGCCTCCCCCCTCCCTCTCACCGTCGGCAGCGACACCGGCGAGCTGCGTCTGCAATCGGACTTTGCGCTGGCGCGCGACTCACGCACGGCGTGCTTCTGGCAGGGCTTCGTCAACCAGCAGGAGTTCATGGCATCGAGCTTCCAGGCGGCCATGTCCAAGATGACGATCCTCGGCCACAACCGCGCCGATCTGATCGACTGCTCGGCCGTCGTCCCCGTTCCGAAGCCTGCGGTCAACAAGCCTGCGAGCTTCCCGGCGACGACGGGCCCTCAGGACCTGGAGCTGTCGTGCACGACCTCGCAGTTCCCGACGCTCACCGTTGATGGTACGTGTCCCAGTTGTGTACGCATGGAGTATGATAGAGGCTGACTCTCGACTCTGGTACAGCCGGCTCACAGGAGACGGTGATTCCGCACTGCTCGGACGGCAACATGACGTGCAACACTGTCCAGTTCACCGGCCCGGCTATCGACTAAGGAGTCGCACGGCGAAAGTCTATTTATCTTTCTATAAATTATGGGAAAAGATATTGGTGTTCTTTTGATTCGGCATGATATCGGCGGTCACAGAGACTGTGCAGCTTGTAGCTTCTTTGCTTTCTGAATTCAATGGCTTCCGTACATCGAGCACATAGCGAGCTGCAGAGCGAAAGCGATCACAACCTATTGAGCGCCAGAAAAATATGTCACGCGGAAAGGACTGTACTGTGTCCATATTGTACAGCGCGAATCGATCGAGTAAGTGAACCAACTCCCGGGATTCATGACTGTCCCGGATACCAAGTCCACGCTGAGAAACTTCAGGCTGGATTTCAGGAACTGGCGCCACGGGACGTGGAGATCATGCGGCTCGTCAGCTGAATACAGATCTATGTGCGTGTTCGCAGAGGGAAATGCTCGATCGTCGTTGACCATGCCATCACCTCGTGGAAGCAGTCAACCTAGAGCGGCAGCATCACATACAAGAAGACGATTGAGACTATTGATTCTGTCGTGCTCCTTGCAAACTTATAAGCTATGGTAACAGATACCGAGAAACATACCACACCGCCGTCACTTCACTATCGAAGAATGATCCTTAACTTGTTTCCTACCACTGTACCTCCGGAATTCCAAGCTCCGCTACCCGCTCGAACAGTTTTGCCGCAGAGAGCTCCGTGGAATCGCCAACCTCGCACTCGAACGCCAGACCTCGCACAGGAGAGCCATGTTCAGCCACAAGGGCACGACTCCCTGGATGTCGCTCGCAGTCATTGTTACGCCAATTTTCTGATCGATAGTAATCACCACCTCTTCCAGCCGGACAGGAGCTAGTGCTGACGAGCTAGTGTTGCCACGGCTTGGCGCGGCTTGGCTGTGACTTGACTTTGGACGGCTTTTCCTTTTTGGGATCAGCCGAGTCAAGTCAAGCCGCGGTGCAGCCGCGACTATAAGCGACTATGGCTGAGCAGCGGCTTGCAGCCGATCGTCCCTCCCAAAAAGGAAGGTAGTTCACACCGGTACCGCGGAATTCATCGTAACATTGCTTGTCCTACTTGAGTGATGCTAAATATGAACTGATTTCCTCTGGAGACTCTTCTGCACGGCTCTCCAAGTCCTTGAGCTCCTCTCCAATGTCCAAACCATGTGTGAAAGACAGAGAATGGCCTTGCTTGAACCTGAACTTGAGAATTTGCAGTGCTTCCATGAGTTCTCCACCGATTTTGTTGCGCCGGTCTGTGACTGTTATCTTTCCGGATGAGAAGACATGTTCACAGGGCACAGCAGAGGCTTGGATAGGCAGAATATCCATTGCAATGGCATAGATGGCTGGAAACCTGGTCTGAGATGCCTAAAATGTGAAGATAAATCAATATTTCGAAAAAAAAATGGAGAAAAATGGGGAGAAAAATTATGGCACAGGTTTCAGTAAGTGTACACTCACCTTCCAGTATATGATAGCATCCACAAATCCATCTGTGGGCTCTGCAATGTATGCATACCACTCTTGCTCTACTGAACGCTCAGCCAATGGACCTTTTCCTTTACCCTTGAATAAAATGTCGTAGGCCTTTTGCTGCTGTGTTTGAATCACTGCAGCTGCCGGAGCCGAGGCCGAAGGGGCCATCTTGGATTTATACTTGCGCATCTGTAAAATGAATGTTAATATAGAGAGAAATGAAGATTAAAATATGAGTAAAAGTGCACCTCAGCTAAAAATAGATTCTTTGCTGCAGCCGCTTCTGCTGGTGAAGTGTTTTGCTCAAACCACTCCAGCTTACATGCAGGATTGATGACTAATAAACTTAGCTTCAGATTTCAGCAGCTTTAAAGCTGTGCTTACCAGTGGCCAAAGTATATGCATTACAGCTGCGGTTGCGATCACGATAGTCTTCAAGCTTGTCCAGACCTTGCTGAATAATTCCAGCTGCGTTGGATACTTTTGCCTGTTGCTCCTGCCAGCGTAGCTTCATGGCTTCGAATGCAGATAAAACACTAAATGAGTGTTGGCGTAGATTCTGAAGATAAAAGCTGCTGAAACGCATGTGGGACCTATTCATGTTTAATTTATTACTTGGGATAAATGAAGAAAACTAAACTTACCTGAAGGATCTTGTGGAATACTTTCCAAAGCTTTCCACTCTTCATTGTTCATGCTATACTTGGCGAAGTTCTGCAACTCTGAACCATA